AAAATCCATGTTTGTTCAAAAACCATCCAAACGCTAAGTTCTTCTATGGAACATACAACACATCATTAAGTGTTAGCTCTTTTCTATGTTATACCATTTCTGGAATGTTTTAAACACCAAATTTAAGTGTTTAGAATCATAATTTCAAGAAATTTTTTTGCCTCAACTTGTACAACCTTATAACTCTTGAGTCACTCCCTCTTTGAGCACACATGGCGTGTAGCACCCATATCAGTCCATCACTCAATGGAGTTAGCATCCATAAAGTTTACTTTGGAAATCGTTCCACTTTGGATGGTGACATTTCTAAAATCATTTATACTCTAAATATAAATGTTTAGAATTCTAATTTCCAGAAAATATGTTTATCTCTTTCTTGGACAAAACTCAACATAATTAAAAATCTATATTTGAACAATTATGAAACTTGATTTTTGATGCAGAAATTCTAAAATTTGATTTCTCATGCAGAAAATTGATGCATAAATTATGATATCAGAAAATCTGATGTTTTCTTTCAACAAAACTATTTAAAATGTGATGTTTTTAAGTAAAATAAGCTATTTTATGATTTCCAAAGCTATTTTACATAAAATTGAAGCCGTTTTTTACTAAACAAAGCCTTTTTGTTTTTCACAAAACAGTGTAGTCTATTCAAGACTGCTTTAGCCCCACTTAAACCTGTCAAAAATGAAATCTAAGTTCATAATCCAGTAACCCTGTCTCTTAGCTTTCCAGAGACTACTTTTACAAGTTCATACGATTTTTCTACAATTTATTATGAATTTTACAAAATTGTGCATCATAGCTGTTAAAATCTAACCAGTAAGTGAAAATCGTATTTTTCACCCTAGTTAGATTTGTTTACAGCTTTCAGCCAAAATTAATGAAACAAAGTATACTCATATACCAAACTTTGAGAAATGGTTTCAACCAAAAATGAGCATCCATGATTAAGTTATGATTTTTCAAATATTATGACAGATTAGAGCATTTCACAGCAACACATAAATTGTGTTTTTGAGTAAAGATAGCTTCTTAACCCATTAGGTACTTAATAGAATCAGTATCGAAGTTGGAAAATCTGATACTTAAAACCAAATACATGTCTTAATGACTTAATGACCAAAGGTGCTTCAAAATCACAAAAAAAAATCCATTTTTTCTTATGAAAATCGTACAATATCAAAATAATGTATGTAAAATTGTTTCCGATTTCTAGTTCGATTCGTACAAACGAATTTGGTTTTAAGATTGTAGGAATAATATTCCGGTAATGTACGAAAACAAACAAGAAAATAGGAAAACTAAGGCATGTGTTTAACACATTGTCCTTAAAACAAATTCGCCCGCTACCGGGTTTTTGTTTCTCAGGATACAACAATTTGAAATGGTTCTTCTAGACCACTCAACCCCTTAATAGGCTTGGATTATATTTTCAATATAGCTAGAAAAAGAAGAAGATGAAGTGGGGAAGAAGCGAGTTTTCTCACATTTCTTTTTGGTGTACTCAAATGGTTGTAGAGTAGTGGTATTTATACTATACATTCTATAACCTCCCATTTAAACACCTCAATTAATCACAAAGATTAATGTGTGTTAATATGTAATTAAATTGTAATATTAATTACAATTTCAGTTACGAAAGAAAGAAATATTTGCAAAAAGGTCCTTGAACTTTTATTTTCTTTCTTCCAACACCTTTACTTTAAGGATTAATTTCTCATTCATATTAAATCCATTTTGAACGTGTTAAAAATGGGGAAAACCCATTTTTATAAATTGGTTAACACCAATTTTCCAACATATTTTTCGGGGTTCATTGATAATATGAGGGGTTTAGGTAAGGAGATCTTTGTGTTATTTGGTGTCATGTTTCACTGCAGCAGGTGTGGGTTTGGTGTGTGTTATCATTTCAGTGGGTAGACATATTGTAAGAAGAGCTAAAGTTAAGCATTTTCCGTGTGTGTTCTTCGTGTTTTATTGGGGTGATCAAAAGGGGGATGGGGATATAAAACTTGTTGTGGTGTGTGCTTTTGTTTTTGTTAACCTTGTTCATTTTACAGGTTTATGTTGTAGTTCTCAAGATTGAGGTCCTTTACAGCTCTCATCATCAGACTAGATAGATAATGTTATACGCCTACCTACCTGAAAATCACAATTCAATTTTGGGACCTACATCTTCTGCATAACTGCACTTAAAGGATCTACATCACCCCTCACTTGTTATCTAAAGGAACTTGGAAGAATAATCGAGGGGTACTGCATAAATGTAACCTGATGGACGATTTTACCCTCCATTGATCTCGAAGAATGCTGGTCAATTTGTCTACGGATCACTAATGGTTTCGAGGCTAGATCCTCCCATATATGTCATTCGAATGCAAGCCTACTTCATCCCATATATTGCCCCACTCAAATTTTACTGGAAGCCTCATCCAACTATAAGCTTCCCCATACCTATTGCTGTTTAGAAGTGATGCACTCCTTGTTTGAACATGTGGTGTTTTCTTTTACTGCTTTTATATGTTTTTTCCTTTAAAATTGTTGTTTTTTGTTTTCTCTTTTATGTACTCTTTGTGGCTCAACTTCGTGATGGTCACTTTTTAATAAAATTTGCCGTTCAAAAAAAAAATTCAACATTTTGGTAGATCACTTTATGGGATTTCATACTCTTTTACATATAAATCGATGTGAAGTACCATCAACTATAAGTCGGTAATCAAAAGTTAAAAAGGAAATCCAACTTTAAATGTTCTGGTAATTAGTTAAGAGCTATAATTATAAAATAAATATTTGTTTATAAAAACTTTAGTATAAATGAAGTTTTATGACAAATACTTATTAAACGTATTAAAAGGATAATTTTCCACTTAAAAAGTTGTTCATCTACATAAATACAATTATCGTTGAATAGTTTATAATAATTTTTGGTAGACGTGAGTTACTATCTCAACCAATGACACGTGGTTAGGTCTTCATCCGTAAATATTTAAATATTTAATTAAGATAACTCAAATCTTGTTTTCTATGCATTAATTTATTGTTTATGTGTGACATCTACAAGATAATATAAAACGTATAGGCTACATTTTATAGACTTGTGAGTCATGATATCATATTCTATTTGTTTAAGTTTTAATTCATGAATTTATATGAATTCCTTTTTGGTCAAAGAGATTCATGAATCACGTTTACAAATAAATGTATTAATTTGCCGTTCCAAAAAAGATGTGTAATTGATTTAAAAATGTCTTTTTTCTTTTAGTTCATAACAGAATTGCTAATTATAGGTGCAAATGACAAATTACTATGAAACGATTTTAACTTGATTCTAAGAAAAGAAATTTTAAAATCAATATCCAAATTTATACGGAATGAACTTAGATGAAAAAAATATTATGAACAAATTTGTAACAGAAAGCTCACAAAAAATATCTTTGCTTTTAAGGGGATGACTTGAATCTTTAGTTCTTGAACAAGTTTTATTATCTACTTAAAAGTAACTAAAACAATAACCTAGTCTCCCATTTATAATAATAGGAATTCTATTTGTGAAAAAATCAATTAACTTATATGGAAAGAAAATGCTAAAAGGCGGTATTAAGCCAAATAATTCCCCCCTTGACTCGTCTATTGTTTTTAGACCAAATGGTTTTTTAGCCTAACGGTATCAGGTGATATCTTTCATCTTTAAGGCTGAGGGTTCGAGTCTCATTGTGGACATAGATGGAAATGGAATTAGGTGTTAGTTTATGTGTATGTTATATATTTGTATTTGTTAGTTTAAAAAAAAATATAGTTTTTAGATTTTCAAGGCAGGATGATATACATTGTTATTACTCAAATATGTTAGTAAACTTAGCGGGTTGGAGATTCTGATTAAACACTAACCAAAAAATGCACAATAACTTGTTCTTATTCCTCGCTAGCCTCACATCTCATATAGAGACGCTAAAACTTACCTTGTAGAATTTTTAGCATATTTTTTCATGTGTTGATCTTGGGTTTGTTTACCAAGTTTTATTGCTTCTTCAAGTGGTCCACCACATGGACAAATAGTCGTGGAGTTTGATGGCCACAACCTTGATTTTGAGGTTGTCACTTGTCAGGAACATTGTATACATTGAAGACATGTTCAACGGTGGTAATCCACTCAAGAAAATAACACGAGTTTGTTTGTCTTTTGAATTCCAAGATATCCAAGCAAAAACCAAACTTTATAGTGGATCTTCATGATTGTGATGGTAGATATGGTAGTGACATTGACGGACGTTGGGTTCACCGCCCTTATCATGATCAATGTGAAGCATGAGCTGGCCCTCAGATTAATTTCTTCTACTCTGATACCTAATGATATGGAATGAACTTGAAGGAATGAAACTAACCAGAACAAATTTATAACACACAACTCACAAGAATGGTCGTTTTACCCAAGGATAAAAAAACTAATCTCTAATTCTTCAGAAGTATTTTTAATCAACTCAAAAGTGATCAAACAATAATCTGTTCTATTTATAATAATAGGAATCCTATATGTAAAAGGAAACAATTAACTTATTTACATAATTGAAAAACCCTAAAAATAGCTAAAACATAGCTAAAACCATCCACAAACGAATTTGACCCCTTCAAATGTGTTCCAGAAACTCAATCTCCAATAAAGCTTAGGACGCAAAAGAAGAGAGGATGTTGGGTGTATGGGTCGATTTTTTCGAGACGAGTTCCTATATATTTCTACAAAGAAATAAATCAAAAGACTACCGAACAAAATACCAATCTACACGAAATGAGGAATACGAGTAAAGGAGCAATGATAATTGGTGATGTGTTTAACAACTTGAAATGCTAATGGGAAATTGGTCAAACGATGCTTTCATTTTCAACAAGTCGTTGTAAATGATCCGGAAAGAACACAAGAAAGCTTTTAAACATATTGAGTTTTTGAATGTTGTAAATGATTGTCAAAATAATGTGACATAAGAACATCCGAAGAACACATGTATGGTTCTGAAACGTCAAAAAGATCCGACTCTGATTACATTGCGTCGGATACTCGTGTCAGGATCAACCTCAACGATGATGATATCGTTGAGATTTCACCACCTTCTCGTCCAATAGGAAGGGACAAAGCCAGACGCAAGGGCAAAGGTAAAAATGTCAACTTTGGATGAGCTAGAAGAAGAAAGGTTAAATGCAAATTTGAACAAGTACTTAGAGTTCACTCAAGAGAATGAGCATAAGAAAGAAAAAGTTGATGATATGAAGCTTTTAGTGCAAGACTTGAGTATCTTCACATGGGAAGAACGTGAATCGACTTTGACGGTAAAAACCAAAATTAAAAAGTATATATATAACATATAGTTTATCTTTTTTATTTCTATCATTATGTTTTTTAGTTTTAATTTAATGTTAATGTAATTTTATTTCAAATTAATGAAATGTTCAGTATTATATAAATTAAATTGCTTAAATAAAATAGAAAAATAAATGTAACCATTTCTTGCATATGTGGCAGAAAAAAAAAACACTCCTAATTTTAGAAACTATAAATATTTTCGGGTTCCATTTTCCTTGTATGAAGTACCAGTGAGTGAAGTCCTGATATATGTCGTTGATGTATGAATACGTGTATATTTGTTGTAGTCTTAAGTCTTAATACAAGATTCAGACTAATATGTAGCATTCGATTTTTTGTTTCAAATGAGGATATCGAACCAAATGAAATCCAAACCAAAGATATGTGTCGATCTAATGACCTTAAATTAAAATCAGGGTCAACTCACGATTTAAATTACAAAAATCTTTTAAGCAAAAGACATAAACCAACCCATAAACACCGTGTATCCTGCTTCTGATGTTTATTTGAAAATGGAAAAAAGAATACCATCAATGACAAAGAAAGGCACTGATTGAAATTAGATAAATACGTATATACGTGTCATCAAAGCAGTTAAAGCTTTCCCAAGAAACTCTCTTTCTTTCTCTTTCTCTCTCTCTCTTTCTCTCTTGTTAGTTTGTCAAGAAATAAAGAAAAAGAAAGAAGAAATCTTGAAAGAAACAGGCATTAACTAGCAAAAACAGGACGATCAACCATTTGGGGTTTCGATTATTACACTTTTCTTCATTGGTAAGCACTTTCCAACTTGTGTCAATCATAAATTTTCAGTTTAAATGAAAATTTAAGACTCGAAGTTTGGAAATTTTACCCAACAATTTATGGAAAACCCCATTTGTTTATAGCTTCTATACAGATTGATTCGATATTAGCAACGGATTAATGCGAAGAAGACGACCTATTTTTTCTTGATTCTTGAAAGGCTGACAATGACAATGGTTGCCTACTTGCCTCGGATCCCTGGAGCCCAGATTTCACGTGTTCCAAGATTGAAAAGGTGGAAACTTTTTTAGGTTTTTTCTTGATTTATTCACCCTTTTTGATTTTCATGAATCCCCTTTTGCATTTACGGTTTAGATTGATGGATAAGGGTTGTTCTTGACGTTTAATTGTTAAAGAGTTTCGCTGTTTTTTTGTGTGTTTTACAAGAATCTTGTAATCTGATATAGATTCTAAAGAAAAAATTCCATATTCGGTGATCGTAAGATCCATTCTTGCTCAACCCCACCTCGATTTTACTCCATGATCTTATTTTATCCATTGACTTTCAATTCAAGATAGAAAAAGATCATAATGGTTGAAGTAGCTAACGAAATTAGGGTTTTGAAAATTGGAAAAAAACTGAAGTCGGTGAAGATTTAGATAAAAGGATTCAATGGAAGAAATGTCTCCCCCTACCTCGATTACATTCAACTTAACAAATCCCATTTCCGAAAACACTCTCGCAAATCATGCGGATTTCACTCGGGTCAAACTACTTACTGGAACAGCAAGCTTGTTATCCAAGAATTGTGATATCGCAAATCAAGAAACAGATGCTGATGAAATCATGTCAATTGACGATTCCATTGATGCAAATTCAGCAAGTTTACCGATTCCAATTGCTGTCGCAATTGAGGGAATGGAAAATGAACAAGTAGTAGCGAAAGTGATTAGCTTAGGAAAAGAAACAATAGAAATTGAGAATGAAACTACTCTAACCCCATCTCTAATGGCGCTTGTTGAAAAGAATCAAAGTAAAGGAATCAAAAGTGTTTTTGAATTGGAATACATTCCACTCTGGGGTTTCCATTCCATTTGTGGTAAAAGACCGGAAATGGAAGATTCCGTTGCGGTTGTTCCTCGTTTCATGGAAATTCCTATCAAGATGTTTGTCGGGGACCATGTAATTGATGGCATGAGTTCAAATTTGACCGATTTGACCTCCCATTTCTTCGGGGTATACGATGGGCATGGGGGCTCTCAGGTAATTTACATCTTTGTCCATTTCCAATACTTATAAACACCATAAGGTAGAGATGAAAGTATGTTGCTATTTATTGCAGGCTGCTGATTACTGTCGTGACCGTATACATCTTGCTTTAGAGGAGGAACTAAAACTTGTTGCACAAGAAACCTTCAACGACACGTTACAGGTTCAATGGGAGAAAGTGTTTACAAATTGTTTCCAAAAGGTTGATGATGAAGTTGGCGGGAGAGTTAGCCGCAAAACCCCGGAATCGGAATCACTAATTCCAGAACCAGTGGCACCGGAAACCGTTGGTTCAACTGCTGTAGTTGCAGTAATTTGTTCTTCACATATTATAATTGCAAACTGTGGTGATTCAAGAGCCGTTCTTTATCGTGGGAAAGAAGCCATTGCTTTATCGAGTGATCATAAAGTGAGAGTTATTTTTTTACCTTATTTAATTTTGAAAAGCGATGGGTGCAAAAATAACGTTTTTTTTTTTAAAATTAGCCAAATCGGGAAGATGAATATGCAAGAATTGAGGCGGCTGGTGGGAAAGTCATACAATGGAATGGGCATCGTGTTTTTGGTGTTCTTGCAATGTCGAGATCTATTGGTATGTTTATTTTAGAAGATTGAGACATATAGTTTATAACTTTTAAATTGCTTTAGTAGGAAAAAATATTATTATTTGAATAATAGTTCGTGCAATTGTTTTTGATATATGAAATGTTATGAACTTTAAAGAGGCTAAATGCAACAAACTTTTTATTTATTTATTTGTGTATTATAGCATCCTACTTTTATTTCTTCCTATCACAACATATATTTTGAAAAATCTTCCCAATCATAGCATTATATTTTCAATTTCTTTTTCTTATTGGAACACTATACTTTGAAAAATTATCGATCGCATTGCTATGGTTAGGTAGATTTTTCTAACTACAAAAAAAGTAAGATGCTATAATAAACAATTAGATGAAAGTAAATTGTGATTTCTATCATTTAATCTTTTAACAAAATAGAAAAAAGTAATAGTTGTTATTAAGTTTTTATACTTGTTTTTCAGGTGATGGGTATTTGAAACCATGGATAATACCCGAACCAGAAGTCACATTTACAGCACGTGCTAGAGAAGATGAGTGTCTTGTTTTAGCTAGTGATGGTTTATGGGATGTGATGTCTAATGAAGAAGTATGTGAAATTGCTAGAAAACGCATTCTTATTTGGCATAAAAAGAATGGTGGGACCACAACCGATAGGGGAACGGGTATGGGTGTGGGACCCGATCCTGCAGCACAAGCAGCAGCTGATTATCTAGTAATGCTTGCTCTCCAAAAAGGAACCAAAGATAACATATCTGTCATTGTTGTAGACTTGAAAACTCAAAGAAAGTTCAAGACTAAATCTTAAGTGTTTCACTTGTCTGGTTTATTGACCCTAGAATGTATTATTAAAACGATTCTTAAACAACAGAATCAGATTACTATTTTAAGAGTAAATTACAGAAATGGTCCCTGTGTTTGTTACATGATTTCGCTCCCCCATTCCAACTTTTTTGTTCTCTCATTATCTTTGCCTTATGGTTTTGTAGAATTTTACCGTTCAAGCCCATGTAAAATGACCATATTACTCTTCTTTTTAATATGTCATTGTTTTGTTTACACTGGTGGCCCCTCCCTCAGGAAAATTTATTCAAATTGAAGTGTGTTTTCTGTACACAATTGAAGGAATCAAGAACTCTGTTGAGCTATTTTTTAATTGGTTCTAATAGAAAGAAATCAGGAACATTGTTAAACTATGTTTTGATTGGAATTTTGCAATCGTGTAATTAAAGAAAGATGTGCAGATTTTACGAACTTCTGGAGTGCCTTTGGGGATTATTCAAACTCCTTTTGATTGTTGGTGAGCTTCGTTCTTCCATTTTCAAATCAAGGAGGCGTCATTGGTTTCATTTGCCCAATTAAATCTACTCATAACCAAAATCATTCAATATTTTTCAAACATGAAATTCATACAACAGCAATTTATGTTTGCTACTTGAATTCACAAACTGCACTTGTAATTGCCGATGAGAACCTTAAAGGACCGTTAACAGAATCTTCACCACCATCAGGGAGGAAAAACAACAAAAATCCAAAGCCATAAATGTAATTTATTTTAATAATGAAATGATAAAAGAAGGGTAATATGATCATTTTACATGGGTCTTAACAGTAAAAATTAACAGAGTTAGAGGGAAAGACCATGGTGTAAGAAAATACAACCACAAGACTGGGGTGCAACTTGCACTTATATTACAAAAACAGGGACCATTTTTGTAATTTACTGGTATAGTTTTGTAATCATATTTAGTGAGTTGGATACGCGTATAAAACAAACAAGTTATCTAAAACATAAAGAGTTAAACCGACAACAAAATGTGACAAAGTACTGTGTTTTTCAAATGTAAAAACATACCAATCAGAATCCATAATCAGTCATGTTTAAGAGTATTCAAAAACTTGATTAAGAACTTGATTCCCTTGTCGTGTGTTGCCAACGAAAACCTAGGAACTAACAACAGAAAGTAAAGAGCCAAGGATGACTTCCCTTGTGAACCAACAACCCCAGATTCAGGTTGTTGGCTCACCGAGTCTATTTCGCTTTTCATCAGCGAAACATGTGGTGGGTTCCACCCAGTATACCATCATTGCTAGGCCCCACACTCTGTATGGGCCCAACTTGAGGATGATATACCGGAAACCTAAGTTCTTGCTGGTGGAAGAAACTCTCACCATTGGACACACTTGTAATCTCCGAGCAACCACACCCACCGCCGCCGCCACCACCACCAGATCCCAAATCATCTTGTCCACTGATCGGGCCATCCGGTTGGTCTTCTTGTATCTTTTTCATGTTTAAAAACCGACCACCGGGTCCTCGGGCCCGCTTGAGTGCATGAACATGTCTGGATTCATGGAGATACGGCTGTCCAAGTTTTACAAAGGGTTAAATAACAACTTTTTTTGCACCTCAAAAATAAATATTAATTATAAAAAAAAAAAAAAAAAAAAAAAAATCAAAGAAAATTGCAATGGATACCTTGCGTGGTTTTAAAAGCTTGTTTTGGGCCTCAAGTTTGGCCCGATATTGTCTCCTACGAAGAATCGCATTGTATTGTTTTGCGTTGACGTATATGGGTTCATCGTGTGCAAAATCAATAGGTAGTGGCACGCGCGTAGTTGTCATGCTCATTCCTTGAGGCATCTGGTGATACGAGAACAATAAGAAGCTTCAATTTTGTATTACTCAATTAACATTGATTAAGATATATATTGTTTATAAACATAGTAGAGAAAAAAGAGGTATCGTGATTAATAAATAATATGATTGAAATTAGTATAGTAGCGCTCACCATAGCTTGTGTGCCATAAGGTGTAAGCAATCCACGATAGTATGGATCAGGGTATAGAAGTGGAATACAAGCCTGAAATTGAAATGGGAAAATCTTTAATCATAAAGATGATCAATATTTTTAATATAAAATAATCAATTGAAAAAAATTCACTTACGTATGGCTGCCTGCGATCAGCTTGAATAGAAAAAGTATAATCCTGAACACCTGTTGGCAAAGCTGACCCAACACTACCTTCTTCACGTGTCACATGAGTTCCATTATACCCTGGTTTCGAGAAGTGGCAAAACGGTAAATATTGGATATATGAATCTAAAGTGAGATACTAACCATACAATTCCAAAAGCTAAAAAGAATACACTAGGGTGTGTTTGATTTGTAGAATGTTTAGAAGGGAGCAGAATTGGAATCGGAAAGATTGGAACTCATTTCTAAGTTGTAACCAAACACAGGATTGAAATGGACCAAATTCCAATTCCGCCCAAATCCCATGAGTACAACTAACCAGAAGCCCTTAAGCTTTTCAAAATGGATTTTAAATGCTTACAATAGTATTTAACCACATCAATAACAATCGAAATAACTACCTGACTGAATTGAGAACTTGTTTTCTCCATACTGGTAATTTTCTCCAGCACTAGCAACTTCAGGGTAAGATTGACAAGTCGATTGAGTTGATGAAGAATCTTGATCTTGAAACTGAATTTGAAGCCCTAATTGCTTTGTGTTTTGCTGACGTGACGTTGAAGATCCCATTTTCAAACTTAAGTTATTAGACAAAGTCGACTGTTCAACAAATGACTCGGTACCCGCCCACTGAGACGGGTACCCAACCACACCCAGATCACAATTCTTCTTGAGCAGTTCCTGCATGCTTTCAATACTACCAATGGCTTCTAATATGAGTAGCCTTGTATCAAATCAAGGTTATATCGAAGATTACCTGATACAATCATAAACTTTTCATTATTTCACATGACAAATATAGAAGAATCCAAAAAAGAAAGGCTCAAAATAGTAGTAGAAACTGATTAACTTAAATAAACGAGATAATGTCGAGAATTAGATGCTTATCTTGTACCTATATTCCACTAAAGAAACAAACAATCAATCTTTTGGTCTCCACGTATTAGTGTCTTATTAAAAGCAAATCTAAGAAGTGTTCGGATGTGTGGGATTTGGAAATGATTATCGGATTATTGCAAATAAAGTTTTATTATATAGATTTAAGCTGTTTAGGGCTTATAACTTTATAAATATCCAAGAAATGATTATCCGATTCACGAAATCATTTTCAAATTGCACATGTAATTATGTAAATAAGCAGTCGAAAATACAAGTTCATTTTAGAGTTAAGAACATGAGCGTTGATGCCATAACTAAAGAAACTTAATCTTGAGCTAGATGTAATGATTTAGGAAGAAAAAAAAACTCACAGGGCCAACAATTAGAACATTGTACGCAAAATCAAGAATCGAAGAACAACGATAGATTAGCAACTATAATATCATTTTCTAGAGGGTTGATTGGGTCCCACAAAAATGTTTTAAGAATGATTAAGAACTAAACAACAAAAGGGTGTCTTCAAAGTCAAGATCAAGAACTAAAGACGATGGAATTTTCTAAGAAAGAAAAACATTAAGAACAAGAACACAGACAAAAGGATTAGATGTGAGAATTTCCCAATATATCATAGATAAAAATGCCCAGATTGGGAAGGAAAATGAAACATGCAGGTTCCAAGAATCAAGAAAATCAAACAGTTTTTGAAGATCTTATAAAATCGCTAAATCCACATAAAGTCTAACACTGAAAGAAGAACAAGAAAAGGGTTTGAAAGATTAAAGATGCAAAAACATGAAAGAAGAAATTATACCCTTTGTTGGGGAGAATCCGGGCATGCCTCCTTTCCTGAAACTTGGCTCTCTCTCTCTCTCTCTCTCCCTCCCTTCAACTCTCCTTCTCTCTAGATATATAAATATAAGTGTGTTTGTGTGTGTGAGAGAGAGAAAGAGGGAGTATATATATCTGGTTATAGATTCAGAAAACGACAAAGTGTTTACATCTCCTTCGTTTCAGGGATCCGGCAGCACCATCGGCACTCAACGGTAGTAGTACCCGGAGCTCCGGCGGGTTGTTTTATCATTAAAACTGGTACTTTTTGAAAAGGAATTTGAGTGGGTTTTTGTCGTGTTGTAATGAAGAAGAGTAAAAGATTAAAATTTATAGTCTATGAATCATGCGACTTTTTTTAATTTTTTTCTGTCGCTCTGTATCAGCCGCCCCTATAGGGCTCCGAAAATGTCGCCACGCGTTCGTTAAGAGCGTGGGTTTACTCCTCTGCCCCCTGGCAATTTTACTTTTACTTTAATCTATCATGTTTAAGAATTAAGAAGAAATCCACGTTTATTTATCTTTTCGTTCGTTGATATCAAACAAATCTCTGTTTTTTATTATTATTATTAAAAGAATTAAATAGATTCATATGTCAATAATTTCTACACTTTTTCCAACTTTAAAATTATCTTCTATGTTTCAGATATTGTACCCTATCCACTAAAATGAAATGTGTACTTGTAATTTTGTTTTCACATGGGATTTTGTCTTTTTCCTCGTTTTCTATGGTAAAATGAGATGGCTCACTGAGTTATGGTATGATTGGATAAACACATTTGACTCGAACTAAAAAATACTTACTCCGTCTCAAAATTATAGTCTATTTTTTCTTTTCTGTTTGTCCAAAAATAATTGTCCAATTCTAAAAATAAATAACATTTTTAACAAAATACTTCATTATTATTACTTAACCTACTAAGCATTTAATGGAATATTAAATACAAAGCAATGACAAAACTGTCATTTTATTAAATAAAGTTAATGGTAATTAATGTTTTTCTTAATATGTGTGTTTTTTGTCTGTGGACAATAATATTGGGACGGAGGGAGTATAAAATATGATATAACAAGTCAATATTTTTTTATAGAAAGTATGAGTGATAAAATGGATGATAATTGGAGAGTGGGCTAAACGGATTGTCGTTTGCACAAGTTAAAATAAGATGCTGAAGTAGAATTTATTTCGAGAGTGTAGATTGATCATTAAGAATGTATCACTGTTTTACTTAATAATTTAATTTTAATAAAATAATTTATCATGTTGTATGCATTACAAAAAACTTTTTAACATATTACCTTTTGGCTATTTTTTTATAAAAAAAAGTGAGTCGTCTTGATTTTAAAGAAGTTTTGAGAGAAACCAAACTTATATATAAACAAACTAGGTTAATACCCGTGGAAACCACGGAGATACAATAATTGGCATAATAAATGTTTATTTAATTGTTAATAGGTGTAATAACAATTAACAATAGATTTATAAACAATTGTTGTTTTAGAAACTTAGATATTTTATTTGTAACTTTTAAATGCTTATTTGAATTAATTATGCAAAATGTTTTGAAGATATGACCAATGTTCATTATGTCTAATTTAATGGTAAATGATTATTTGTAAAATGAAATATCAAATTGTAATAACTGAAAAAAAAAATCATAGACAATCAATTATGAAGATAAATTAATGAAATTTATTTTATCAAATAAAAAATAATAACATGAGCCATTCTTGTCATATATAGCAATGTAGTTTAAAACACATTGCTACTTTAAGGCTATCGTGTGAAATTGACTTTTAAAAAAAATAGAAACAACTATCGTTCCTACTATTATTAAGAGAACTAATTTTCAACAAATATATAATACATTCATTGTGTTATAATTTTTTTATTAAACTGATGTTTTTCTTATTTATTATGCTAATATATTGTTAGGCCAATATGAAATTTTCAAAAACAATAAAGTTATGACAAACACACATAACAAAGCCCTAACCTCATTTAAATACAAAAATAAAACTTATATGTTCATTTAAATTAAAGCAAAGCAAATGATAATTAAAGTCATTTTCTAATATATTCTTGCACACAAAAATACAAAATAACTTAAAGGATGAATAAATGTTAGAGATTCAAAATACTTTTACATCTAATACTTTTACGTCTAAAACTTATTTAATCAAATACAAAACATGTTCTCTCATATTGTCCACAAATTCAAATGTCCTGAAATTTTTACCGACAAAGTTTTTGATAATCGATTAAATGTATATTAATTCCTTAATTTCTAAATGTGATGAACCACTAATACAAATAATACACTAATACAAATAAGAGTAAAATACTTATCAGAGATGTTTAAACTCATGTTTTGTAAACAATATCAGAAAGGGTAACTTGAAAAGATTGTTAGTGAAATCAAACAAATATAGATCTAATAGTTTTCTCAAAAAAATTAGATGAAGAGATCTAAAATTGCATAGTGGTATTATCAAAATAATAGTTTATAAGATAATATTACACGGTTGAGAAATTCAAATAAAATAGATAATAACAAAAACATAGTAACTAATCATAAATTTGCAAACACGTGCTTATGTTATACAAGTTGATTAAAATAAAATAAAACAGACCTAAATTAGTATATTTTTCAACAGGTTTAAACTTTTTCACAAAATGTCATCTTTTCCGTACACATACAACAACACACATAGTAAATATTTGAGATTTAGGATTTAGGGTGTTGCCAACATTAGTGGCATAGATGTTAGTGGTATGGTCGTAATTATGTATTCAATATGGAGTTAATGTGGTTGACATTAAGTAATAAATAAAGTTTTTATAAAATTGAATTTTTTTTACTTTTATACTTTCAAAATGACAATAAGTAACAAAAGTACCCAATCTACACATAAGATGCAAGTTCACACTCCTTATGACATTGGAGAGCTTCAAAGTTGCAAGTTCACATAAAATTGAAATTTTTTTATTTTTATACTTTTATCCATGTTGTCTGGACTGATAGCATTTAAAAGTTACTGTTTAATTTGTTAAGTATGTTAACAAAATAGCAAGCATTTACAATTTACTGAAAAATAAAATAGTAGATATGTGCTTATGTCTTTTTATATTTTTTTAGTAAAGGCATGCTTGTTTTAATGATAAATTATAGCAATACCGTTAATTTCTTAGTTTTAGTCAAAAATTCAACCAAATCAAATATTTATTATACGAACTTATATTTTAAAAATTATGCATATAAATAAAATATATTGGTGAGATTTATAATTTGTTATAGCACAAAAATTACTTTATTAAGTCACTTTTTCTAAACAAATGCAAAATATAAAATTCAATAGAAGAAATGTTAAAATATGATTAATATATAAACACAAATCGATTAATAGCCAAAGTTATGTATGTAATAAATCCGAGTATATCTATATGATGAAGCGATGTCATGAAAGAAACAAACGTGATAAGAAGGATTTAGTAAAATATCCAACTAAATTATGTAGATGAATATATTACAAATACACATCAAATATCTTGCGCAATGTAAGAGTAACTCATTTTTACATATTTAATTCATTAACATGTGGATAAAATCTTGAATCAAGTCTAATTATCATTTTTATGATAATGCAACCAAATAAAATCCCGAAAAGTTAAAATCAAACCCAATAAAAATATTAATTTATCATCTTGTTAATATTCATATACACCTAAGAGTTGTTGGATTATACAATGTTCTCCAAGTAACTTGATTTGGTTTAAAACTTAATGGGAGTTACAAAAATCAAACATCATGTAAATAATAAATAACAAAAATTATGTAGATGAATATATTACAAATACACATCAAATATCTTGCGTAATGTAAGAGTAACTCATTCTTACAGATTTAATTCATTAACATGTGGATAAAATCTTGAATCAAGTCTAATTATCATTTTTATGATAATGCAACCAAATAAAATCCCGAAAAGTTAAAATCAAACCCAATAAAAATATTAATTTATCATCTTGTTAATATTCATATACACCTAAGAGTTGTTGGATTATACAATGTTCTCCAAGTAACTTGATTTAGTTTAAAACTTAATGGGAGTTACAAAAATCAAACATCATGTAAATAATAAATAACAAAAATTAATAGCATTGAAACGATGGGGAATTTAAAAAGAAATAAAGGAACATATAGCTTACCAACAAGGTGATAGAATAAAATTTTGGTCATACTGCTACACATCTGGTCATCTCTAATTAGGTAGGTTTTTTTTCAAAGTACAATACCTTATAAGAAAAGAAAAATCAAAAGTACAATGTTACAAACATAAAACAGAGAAAGTAGGATGTTATACATAAATAAACAAAAAAATACAATTAGAAAGATCTTAAATTTCTTTGCATGCTTTAGAATCCTAGTTTAGATGGCTAATAAAATTTTATTTTGGACAGATTTTCCTAGGGACAGAAGATTAGGAAGTTAACATTTAAATGAAGAAATGTTCACTTATGATATTTTTGTTCAACAACCAAAGAATTATATAAGATATAGGAAATAACATTGTTCTTGAATTTTTTTTTTGTTGAAACCACTAAACTACATACATCAACATAGAATAATATGGTGAAGCTTTTACCTTACTTTCAACTTTCAACATAAAAACACTAAATTTTACAAATTTACTCCATGTGCTATAAGCCTATAATACCCTTTGTCCAATAGGCGAGAAGTGACTAAATAATCCAGAATTTACCTGTTATATAGCAACGATTTCCTATGAGAACCGTTTTACCCTTAGCTTAATAAAAGAAGCAAATGGCAATATACCATTTTCTTGATCAAAGAAGTGAATGCATATTTTACCCATTTCCTAATAAAAGAAGCAAATGACTATTTTACTATTTTTTTAATGGAAGAAGTAAATGATCATTTTACCCATTTCATCCACAGTGTTCACAAAGAGAAGGTACCTCATTGAGGTGAAGTCACGGTTGTTTCCAAGTGAGGAAACTGAATCAACAACATAATCAACACATTATAAAAATCAAAATAGTAGAAATTGTTTTGCTTTGTGTTAGTTTTTCTCACATGTGTCCATTTATACTTGTAATAGGTGTCCATGAATACCATTCTTGGAGTTACTGTTCAACATGCTTAACTTATTTTTGACTTTTTAGAAATTAGATTTTGATGAATTCTTCCTAAAAAGCAGTCACTATCCACTTTCAAGGAATGTTCCCTTGGTGAAGATGGAAGTTGGGCACTTCTATTCATGTAATCATAAAACAAATTTCAACTTGAGTAAGTTCAAGTGAAAAAGAAATATGCTTTTATT